ATGGTGCAAAACGAGCACATATAATCGCAACCGTCTTGCACTTTCAAAAAGGCACGGGTACGTTCGCCAAACGAAAAAGCTGATTTGAAGGAATTCACGGCTTCAATGTCGGAATTCAATACTATAGGGGAAGTGGCGTCATCCAGTGCATTCAAATGTTCGTGCAGGTTGAATTTCTCTTTCGCCCCTAACACCATACTCACGCCCGGCATGGCGGCAATGGCTTCGGGCTTCAACTGGGCAAAGCAGCCAATGATAATAATCTTAGCCTCGGGGTTGGTTTTCAAAGCCGACTTGATAATGGACTTGGTTTGTTTATCGGCATTCTCTGTAACCGTGCAGGTGTTAATCACATAATAATCGGCCCGATCGGAAAAGTCGACTTTCAGGTAACCGTTTTCCACCAAATTGCGCGCAATCTGAGAGGTCTCGGAATAGTTCAGCTTACAGCCCAGTGTGGTGAATGCAACTTTTCGGTTATAATACATGAGGGGGCGAAACTACATATTTTTGTGGAAATGGGTGGAATGGGATGAGGGCTAAAGTGTTTGGGGATTTCTCCGCTCGTGGACTCGGTTGGAGTGACGAGTACAATTAATCGTCACTTTGATCCGCCAGAGGTGGAGAGAAGTCTCTTGCTAGAATTTGTGGAGATTTCTCCGCTCGTGGACTCGGTCGAAATGACGAGTACAATTAATCGTCACTTTGGAGTTACATCGCAATTACGGAGTCGTATCTATGATCACAAAAATCATTTATATAGTAATTCATTTCCCACCGTTATAATTTGGAGAATATAGTTTATTACGAATGTTTCTTTAGTATTGAAGAGGCTATTGCAAGAGAAAAGCAGATAAAGAAATGGCGTAGAGAAAAGAAGGATGCTATTATCAACGAATTCAATCCCCAGTGGATTGATTTATGGGATGAAATTCAAGAATTATAATTTCCTTCACTTCGATCCGCCAGAGGCGGAGAGAAGTCTTAACATTAAACCAAGAATTATAAAAGAAGATTTCTCCGCTCGTGGACTCGGTCGAAATGACGAGCAAAATCAATCATAACTTAGATGGCAAGGAGATTTCTCCTCGTGGACGCGTTCGAAATGACGGGAGAAACTTCTTTCTACCACATGTTGTATCATGACAAAACAAATACACCTCCGCTCGAGCAGAGTAAGCAAAACCGGAATTTCGGCTTACGCGTTATCTTCTACGGTAGCTTCAGGTGCGTTTTTCATCACTGATGCAATACCATTATCGCGCGAAGCTTCTGTCTCGTACATCTCGCTGCTGCCAATGATTTGTCCGTTAGCCGCCTTCAAATTGAAGAACGCTTTGCCGTTGGCTGAAGTCTTGCGCTCAAAACGACCATCGTCTGCAGCATTTTTCTTCACCGATTCCACGCCATTCAAGCAAGCTGCTTTGGTGGCATAGCCTTCGCTGGTTAGAATTACTTGTCCGTTGCCGGCTTTCAAATTGAATTGAAACTCGCCATTTTTTCTAGTTGTGATTTCAAATTTTCCCATACCACTAAAATAGCCTGAATTTATGACAGACAAAAGATTTCAAACGTTTTTGTCGCTTAATGTCATATACAAAAAAAGGCAAATATTACTTTGACTGAGGAATAACCCCCTTTAATAGAAAAATAGCTGTCGCTAAGGTCTATTGCATCAAATTTGCATGTCTTCACACAATAAACGGCACATACTTTATGAACAAACATTTCCCCCTGATTCTGGCATTTTGCACCCTTTGCATTAGCTCTTCTGTTCATGCAACAGGAAAATTACTGAGCTACGAATTGGTGAAATCGTACTCCACTAAAGAATTAGGCGACTTTTGGAAGAAGAACAATATCCCTAAACTGATTCTTACCGCCAAAGATACGGTTGATGTATATGAGTTGACATACGAAACTAAGTATACCGACTGTAACCCACAACCGGTAATTGCTTCCGGGTTATTTTTTGTTCCCCATCGCAAAAAAGGGAAACTTCCATTATTGTGCTATGACCATGGAACTGAAATTAGGAAGGAACGAAGTATTACCATGAACGGAGAGCAATCGTTATGTCTTGGATTTGCTACGGATGGTTATGCGGTGGCGTTTCCCGACTATGTTGGCTTAGGTATTGGCGAAAAAGAGCAGCTCTATTTAAATGCAGAAAGCGAAGCGCGCTCTTCGGTAGACATGTTGCGTGCGGTGCGAGACTTAAGCATCATTTTAAATTACGAACTCAGCGACAAACTTTTTATTACCGGTTACTCGCAGGGTGGACATGCAGCTATGGCCACGCACAAATTGATTCAAGACCAATTTAATGAAGAGTTTAAGGTAACCGCATCATCGCCTATGTCGGGTCCGTACGATGTTTACTTTTCAGTGGAAAGTGGAAGAGATAAAGAATACACCTACCCTGTGTTTTTAATGATGCTGGTGAAATCGTATTACGACACCAAATTGCCGAATAACCAAATGCGAGAGGTTTTAAAAGCACCTTACGATACCATTATTCCACCTATGTTAGACGGTTGCACCTCTTTTAGCACCATTAATGCGGCCTTGCCTTCTATTCCCTATAAGGTACTCACCGATGATTTTGTGAATGATTATCTGCATAATCCTAATTCGGGATTCAAACAATACTTGAAAGAAAATAGTGTTTACAACTGGAAACCGGAAGCACCAATGCAGCTGTGTTATTGCAATGGCGATGAAGAGGTGAATTACAAAAACTCGGTTACTGCATACGAAACGATGGTGGAAAATGGCAGTACAAATGTGAAACTGCGTATGTCGGGTAAAAAATTCAAACATGTGAATTGTGCACTATTTGCAGCGGTTTACACCAAAATGTTTTTTGATGCACAATTAAAAGGCGGAAACAAAAAAGGCCCGATTGGCAAAAGATTACTTATTGATATTGGGAAATTGGCGGTGGAACCCTGAGCCATTAAAGATTTGATGATTTAAGATTTTTGATTTAGGTTTGGCGGATTGGCAATTCTAGTTAAGCATGTAATATCTGTCCAGCCCAATGTTGTTTCATTGTAGACTTTTCCACCAATTTTTTCAGTTGATTTTTCTTCCACATCCGGATTGAACTTCAGGTAAAATTGAAGAGCAGGATTCTGTGCTAAGACATGCAGGCAAAGGCTTTTAAACTCTCGCTTATTTAGTTCTTCAACTGTTTGAAGAAACAGTGATTTCCCAATTCCTTTGTGGTGATGAGCTTTCAGCAAATACAAAGCCCCTAAATATCCATCGAAATCATGAAAAGGCGCAAGTACAGGCATTCCACTTACATAGCCCACAATCTTTTCATCGACTATTGCAACAATGGTAAATGATTGCGCATTTTCCGGATTCAAGATTCGCTCCCACTTTTTGGTATAAGCTGAAATGGATAATGTATCTAAAAACGACTGCTCTATGATGCCAGTGTATGTTTCCAACCACGAATGAAAGTTAACATAAGCAATTTGTGCTGCATCAGTTTGGGCAGCAAAGCGATATTGGATATCAGAACTCATAATACTATTCCAATAAAAACCGTACTACTTTTCGTGTGTTGTTTTTCCAAAGCACTTCACACAAATAAATGCCGGATGGCTTTTCCGATAATGGAATTTCGAGTGGAATTTGTGTTGTATTTTCGTAGATTGTTGTTCCGATTAAAGAGTAAATTCTTACGCGTTTAGCGTTATCTCTACTCTCGCCCAAATCGAGTTTTAAGGTATTTCCACGCAGAAAGGCCGTAAACGTGTTATTGCCTTCCACTTCCATGCCCAATGGATAACGTATCCAAACCGTCTTACGAATGGTATCGTGCGTTGGTACTGTACTATACGGCCAAATGATGACTACATCGGGGCCTACCTTAAAGAGTGGCGAGGATACGGGTAATCGTAAAAAAAACGGTATACCCGATTTAGGTGGAATAGATACTGTAGCGGTATCGGGCGACATAGAGGTGGTTTGTCCTCCATTTACACGAGCGGCAAAATTGACTAATCCTTTGAAAGCATTGGCTGTATCATAATTAAAAAGCTGGGCATTTAAAAAGATAGTATCGCCAAAAAGCAATGTGTCTTGCGAAGTGAAATTAACATTCGTAAAACCTAATTGTGCTTTCGAGGTATTTGAAAACACAAAAAACAACAAAAAAATAAACGCAAATCGAATGTGTTGTGTTAGCTGCTTCTTCATAATCGGGAATTTGAAATGAATATAGGAAAAATTGCTATGTTTTTTTATTAATTTCAAAATAACTTACGCATTCAATTTAGCGAAATATGAACACCTTATCCGACCTTATCCATTCTTTAAACAAAGAAGAAATCCGCCATTACAAACTGTACACCAATCGGTTTGGGGATAATGAGGAGCGCAAAGACATTGCATTATTCGACTTTTTTAAAAAAAACGGACTAGAAGCAGATGAGGATGTTATTTTCAGTCAGTTGTATAACAATGATGACAAAAACGCCTATTACCGACTAAAAAACAGACTCCAACAAGAATTAGGCTGCGCCCTCTCATTATTGCACATCGATAAGAACGACACCAATAATTTACTGTGGATATTGAGTGTTTATGAAATTTTAATTCAAAAAGAAAAGTGGACCTTAGCCCATTACTTTCTTAGAAAAGCTGAAAAAAAAGCGCTTGAAATCGAAAACCTGGAATTGCTCGATTTAATTTATGCGAAGTTCATTTTACTGTCGAACGAAATTATAGAAATCAATCCTGAATTTTACATTGCCAAACGCGATGAAAATGCTATACACCTCAATAAAACGCGAAACATCGATCAAGTGTTAGCCGCTTTGAATTATCGAATAAAAGTGTCGCAAAATTTTGCCCGACAGGATAAAAACTTGCTGAAAATAGTAGATAAAACACTTAAAGAATTTTCAACCGATAACACTATCAAAACCAACAAAACCTTTCAAACAAAAGTTTATCGTTTGATTAGTCAGACATTAGTGCAACGCCACAGCTTTGAAGAACTGGAAAAATTTATGCTTGATACCTATGGACAGTTTGAAAGCAACAATTGGTTTGAGAAAGCCAATCACGATACGAAACTGCAAATGTTGGTGTACATTATTAATGCAAAGCATTTCAATCAAAAATTTCAGGAAGCGCTACAGTATGCGGCCATTTTGGGCAAAGAAATTACAAAGTTCGAGAATTTGTTCTACGATAAATATTTATTCTTCTACTACAATTCACTCGTTGCTAACTATGCTAAATTGAACTTTGCTAAAGCCATCGAATCGTTGGATGAATTTGAATCGTTGATGCGCAAACGGAAAAACAATTACTACGATCAGTTTATTTATTTGAATAGAGCTACGCTATCCTACGAGCGTGGAAAATTTAATGATGGTATTCGTGCATTGGTAAAATTCTATTTAAACGATTCGTTTCAGAAGGCGGATGGTGCTTTTCAATTGAAAATTGAAGTCACGGAATTAATTATGCAATACGAATCGAAAGATTTCGCTAGCACAAAAAAACGAATTGAGCAGGTAAGAAAAAAACACGTCACCCGATTAAAGCAACCCGGTTTTTACAGAGAAGCAAAGGTTATTCACTTTATTGAACAAATAATGACAACTCCGTTAAAAGACAAGGATTCAACACTTTACAAAGAAATCATAAGTTTTGTAAACAAGAAAATTACTGCTGCGGAAGAAGATGGAGAAATCAAAAAATACAGAAGTTGGCTGGCTCCGAAAGTGGGGATACGGGTGGACAGTTTGAAAGCGTAAGAATTTAAAAACTACATCTCATTACGCCTTTTCTTTGACCTACTTTTGAATTGTGAATTCGAAATCACTATTTGAAACCCAAAAAAAGTAAGTCATGAAAAAACAACAAAACTGGAGAATGATACTATTCAGCTTTCTTCTCCTCGCGTTTGCAAATGCAAAAGCACAACTTAACATTACGCCTACGATTACACCATCGTGCCAAAGTAATTCAGGAGCAGTGGTATTTACATTTTCAGGTGCACACTCCGGTATGCATTACTATTCATTGCAAAACAACTACGTTTCCTTAAACTCCCAAACTAGTTCTACCTTCACAAATCTGGCTCCCGGTGATTATACTTTTACTGTGAGTGGGGTTGATTCAGGGATGTTGTATATAACTATCCCATCTGTGATTACAACGACCATAACGGCAAGCAATGCAACATGCCCACAAAACAACGGTAGCCTATCAGCAATTGTACATGGAGGGTCCGCTCCCTATTCTTACTTATGGAGTAATGGAACCACTACACCTTCAATAAACAATCTTTCGCAGGGAAGTTATTTCTTAACTGTAACCGATGCAAATGGATGCATTAATAATGTAGACAGTACCTTTAATTACATCCTTCAAACTTCTACGATTGAAATTACATGGGATACTGCAATAAACAATTGTACTCCGCTTTTTTCAGCGCTTGTAACTGGCGGAAATCCTCCATATTCATTTTATTGGAACAATGGCTCTACAAACTCTAACTCTGTTCAACTTAGTCCCGGATTTTACAATCTAGAAGTTACAGACTACAATGGTTGCAGGGGTTCTAAGGAACTTTCTATTGATTCAGGAGACTGGCTTAGTAACGCTTCAGTTACTATTAATCACCCTTTATCGTGCGGTAATACCAACGGATCCATTTCAATTGTTCCGCTCTATGGTACAGGCCCATATATATTTAGTTGGTCGAACGGAGCAAACACCTCTACTATTTCGAATCTCACTGCGGGTGCATATACAGTTACTATAACAGATAAAAATGGATGTAGCGGTTCAAGAGATTTTAATTTAATTACTCAACCTTTTTCTTACCATGTTCATTCTATTAATCCCAAATGTACCAACAATGGTTTAATCTATGTTTATGATCTTAATGGAACGGCCCCATTCACATTTAACTGGTCAAATGGAGGGGGAAATGTTGATTCCATCAACAACTTAGCGCCAGGCAGTTATTCGTTTACTGTAACTGATGCTTGGGGATGTTCTACCAGTGATACTTACACCTTATATCCTTCGGTATCCGGGTCTCTTTCCGTATCTGTTTTTCCAACACAACTTCCGAGTTGCGGATTAGCAGATGGAACACTTGCAATAAATATAAATTATGGAGTTCAACCATTCTCTTATGAGTGGACAAACTCAGCAAACACAACCAATACGGCTACTAATCTTGTTGCAGGAACCTATTCTGTTAAAGTAACAGATGGCGATGGTTGCTCAACATTTGCATCTGCAAACTTAAGTTCTGTAGTACAAATTACACCTTCAATCACACCGGCATGTTTACCGGGAAGTGGCGCTGTAACGGCCAACCTCTCTTGCATGAATAGTGGAATTCATCTATATATCCTGTATAGCCATGAAACGGGAAATACTGTTCAACAATCTTCTCCTACATTCTCTAATCTTAATCAGGGGAACTATACTATTAGAGTTGGAGGTATAGATTCAGGATATGCTGTAATCACCATCCCAAGTGTAATTTCCGCAAGTACTTCTTCAATAAATATTGATTGCAACACCAAAGGAAGCATATCCACTACAGTAACCGGTGGAGTTGCACCGTATTCTTACTTATGGAACAACGGAGCTACTACAGCATCCCTTACAAATCTAACTGAAGGAAAAATGTATACTTTCACTATTGAAGATGCGAATGGCTGTATTTCAACAGGCTATGATACTATAGTGGAGATATTCTCCTTCTTTCCCAATATCACCAAAGGAGGAAGTGCATGCCAACCCATTTTTTCAGCTACCCCAACAGGAGGAACCGCTCCTTATACATTTTTATGGAGTAATGGAAACACTTCAAACAGTATTACCAATCTTGATTCAGGCACCTATTATTCCTTAACTGTTATAGATGCCAATGGATGTCACGGATATGAATACAAATACTTTACTTATGATTCAACATTAAATTCCATGATAGACTCTGTTTCAATAGTACCGGTTTCAAGTTGTAATGGAAATTTAGGGTCGATTACCATTACAAAATTATTAGGACAAGCACCTCACACTTTCCTTTGGTCGAACGGACAAACAACATCTTCAATAAACAATTTACAAAGCGGATATTATACAGCAACGGTAACAGATGCAAATGGTTGCAGTAGATCCAAATTGTTCTATGTTTCTTATTCTGGGAATACTGTTTCAGGGTACTTTGACGCTATTCAACATACCGTGTGTGGCGGGAACACAGGAAAAATTCACTTTAGACCGTATCAGGGAACTGCTCCTTTTATATATCAATGGACAAATAGTTCAAGTACATCTGCAACTGCAGACCAACTGAGTGCTGGAAGTTACACTGTTACCATTTCAGATGCAGCTGGTTGTTCTACTACGCTCAGCGCTCAAATCATAGGCTTAACGAACTTCTCCGAACAAATAACCACCACACCAACCGATTGCGACACATCTATCTACTCAGGTACAGCTACCATAAATGTTTCGGGTGGGGGAACAGCTCCGTTCACCTATCGTTGGTATAATAGATCATCTTTCTTAGGCACAACGCAAACGATTTCAAATCTTCGACTATCTGAATGGGTATATGTTAAAGTAACGGATGCCTTAGGATGTGTTGCCCACGATTCTGTAGCAACTTATATCCCCCTAAATCCAAATTGCATGAATAGTTGTAGTGCTGCTTTTACTATTCATCCCGATTCGCTTCAAGCACATGTTTGGAACTTGGAGAACATAAGTTCGTCACTTAACCAGCCTGTTTATTTTTGGACTTGGGGAGACGGTTTATCAAGTTCTGGTGTAGCCCCTTCCCATACTTATACTAATCCCGGCATATACCATATTTGCCTATATATTAATGATGGCGTTGGATGTAGTGATTCATTTTGCAATACCTCTACTTATGTTTTCAAAACAGATGAGGTTATTACTGTAAACGTAATCAACAAAACAAAAGTGGGAACTGGAATTGAAAAAACTAGCATAGAGTCACTTCTTGATGTTTTCCCTAACCCAAGCAACGGCATTTTCAATATTCAGTTGCCTGTTGAGGTAAACAACAAAGTTGTAGCTCTTAACGTCACCAACCTACTTGGAGAGGTAGTTTTAAGCAAAAAAATTACCGAACAAAATACAACTTTAGATATTACTCAACAGCCCAAAGGTATTTATATAGTAAGTTTCCAAGGCATAGACGGACTAATAAACAAAAAGTTGATTAAAGAATAGCAAATTGGAATTAACCTTAAGCCTGCCAATAGCTTTGTCAGGCTTTTTTATTCAAGCTTCTCCCCTTTTCTATACAATCCACACTCCTTCGTGAACGGATTAAAGTAGTAAAAGTGAATTTGATAGGTGGGCAATACTACATTAGCCAACGAATGAGCAAGAAAGTGAAAATCGGACTATTTGGGGTTGGGCATCTGGGGAAAATCCATCTGAAGTTATTACAGGAGATAGAAGGCTTTGACGTTATAGGCTTTTACGATACGGACGAGAAGATACGTGCTGAAGTGGCGGAGAAATTTGGTGTGAAGCCTTATGAATCGGCAGAAAGCTTAGTGATGGCCAGCGAGGCTATTGATATTGTTGCCCCAACTACCTTCCATTACCCTTTGGCTGTGTTAGCGGCCAAGAAATTTAAGCATGTATTTATTGAAAAACCTCTTTGTACTACTGTTTCGGAAGCCAAAAAACTGGTTGACTTAGTAGAAGAAGCCCGAATAAAGGCTATGGTGGGGCATGTGGAGCGTTTTAACCCGGCTTTGTTGAGTTTGAAAGGACAGCATATCGACCCGCTTTTTATTGAAGTGCATCGATTAGCGCAATTTAACCCCAGAGGAACGGATGTTTCGGTGGTGTTGGATTTGATGATTCACGACATTGATATTATTCTCAGTTTGGTGAAAGGTAATGTGCGCAGAATCCACGCGAGTGGAGTGGCGATTGTGAGCGGAACACCCGATATAGCCAATGCGCGCATCGAATTCGATAATGGCTGTGTGGCCAACTTAACGGCCAGCAGAATCTCGGTGAAGAACATGCGAAAAATGCGCATCTTCCAACAAGGGGCATACATATCGCTCGATTTTTTAAAGAAAAAATCGGAGATTTTCACCATTCACGACCAGCCGTTGCAAGACGAAAATTTCTTTGAATTGGAGTTAAACAACAAGAATAAAAAATACATTCAGTTTACCACTTCCGAGCCGCAAGATATCAATGCCATTAAAATGGAATTGGAATTATTTTTGGCGAGCATAGTCAACAACACCCCTGTACCCGTGAGTATCCACGATGGTTTGCGGGCGATGGAAGTATCGCAAATGATTATTGAAAAAATAAAAAAACAGTTGTTGTTGAAAGAACTGTAAGCAAAACGCTTCCCCTTTTTCCAGCTAAATAATTGTTAAGTCATACAATAAAATGTGCGACAAATGAGTTGTGTTAGTATTAACCTGCTCTATATGAGAACGCCCATTGTCATATCTATTCTATTGCTTGTTCTAGCATTTGAATTTGCGGCTAAGTGTAACAACAGTAAAACCGCATCGGCACCTGCTGCTGCACCTGAAGTGGCTCTTAAAAAGAGAATCATTGCAACGGCAAACACTGTAAAATCATACCTTTCAGCACACAGTGAGTATAACGATGAATTGATTTTTCTGGTGGACATGCGCATTGAATCAGGTAAAAACAGATTTTTTGTATACAACTTGAAAGACAACAAAATTGTAGACGAAGGATTGGTGGCGCATGGCTATGGCTCTGAAACCGGTGAACCGGGAAAACTGAAATTCAGCAACGTAAAAAATTCGTACTGCACTTCGCTAGGGAAATATGCGATTGGTAAAAGTTACATGGGGCAGTTTGGCAAAGGCTACCAACTGCATGGTTTAGACGCCACGAACAACAACGCATTGGAGCGCTATATTGTATTGCACACCTACAAAAGCGTGCCGTACGATGAGCAAGATGGTCCGATTGTGAATAGCTTAGGTTGCCCGATGGTGAACAGTATTTTCTTTGAGCGACTGCAAACAATACTGGATAATAGCGACAAAAAAATAGTATTGTATATCTATTATTGACTCCTGTTTTTCCGCCATCGCTCGCGTTTTTGCCTTTTATTCGGAAGATGCTATAACACAAATAATTTCCTTTAAATTCAATCGTCACTTCGAGTTCCCACGAGAAGTCTCCAATTGAATTACTGAGATTTCTCCACTCGTGGACTCGGTCGAAATGACGGAGAGTTAGTTAGTAGGCTCTTTCGTTTTTTCCTTCCATGTAATTGATGAAAGCTTTGTTGGCTACGCGATTGCCGCCCGGTGTTGGGTAATCGCCCGTGAAGTACCAATCGCCAAGGTTTTTAGGACAAGCAATATGCAAGTTTTCGATGGTTTGATAGATCACCTGTACATCGGCAAAAATTTGTGGCGGACGAACAATCTCGGAGATTTTAGCAGAAATTTCTTCCACAGAAAACAACTGATACAATTGTTTTACATGGTTGATGTTTTCAGCCACCGGCTTCGCCAATTCGGCTTTGCACAGTTCGTACACGCGTTGCAATTCGCTTTCTTTTCCGTTCTCTTTGATGAGGGCAATAAGTGCGCGGAAGGCAATGAAATCGTTCATGCGCGACATATCGATGCCGTAACAATCGGGAAAACGAATTTGCGGGGCGGATGAAACAATGATGATGCGCTTCGGACTCAAACGGTCTAAAATGCGGAGAATACTTTTTTGCAAAGTGGTACCACGAACGATGGAATCGTCAATCACCACCAATGTATCTTGATTGGCGCGAACGCTGCCGTAGGTGATATCGTAGACATGCGATACCATTTCATCGCGCGAAGAATCATCGGTGATAAAGGTGCGCATTTTCACATCTTTCACCGCAATTTTTTCGATGCGTAGTTTCCAGCGAATGAGTTTTTGCAATTCCTCAGAAGATAAGTGTGGATTGGCTTTGATGGCATCTACCTTTTGTTTGGTGAGATTATCTTCCACTCCTTTTATCAAACCGTAAAAGGCTACTTCTGCGGTGTTAGGGATGAATGAAAACACCGTATTATCTACATCGCCTTTGATACTTTCGAAAATTTGCGGCACTAATAATTCGCCCAATTTTTTACGCTCTTCGTAAATTTCAGCATCGGTACCGCGCGAGAAATAAATGCGCTCGAAGCTGCACGACTTGCGTTCACCGGGTTCTATGATTTTATCTTCTTTTACGCGTCCGTCTTTCTTAATCACCAATGCATGGCCCGGAGTAATTTCTTTGATTTGATCGAAGCGCACATTGAAGGCCGTTTGTATACATGGGCGCTCGGAAGCTACTACCACAATTTCATCATCGGCATAATAATAAGCCGGACGAATGCCGTTCGGGTCGCGCAATACAAAGGCATCGCCATGTCCGAACATACCGGCCATCGTAAAACCACCATCGAAATTTCGAGCCGCACGCGAAAGAATTCTGCGTACACTTAATTCCTTCACAATAAAATCGGTAATCTCTTTATTGCTGTAGCCTTGGTCTTTGTATTTATCGAATATCACTTGCACTTCTGCATCCAAAAAGTGCCCGATTTTTTCCATAACCGTAATGGTATCGCTGCGTTCAATAGGATGCTGGCCGAGGGTGATCAAATTATCGAAGAGCTCATCTACATTCGTCATGTTAAAATTGCCCGCCACCACAAGGTTTCGGGTCATCCAATTGTTTTCACGTAAGAACGGATGGCAATAGGAATCGTTGTTTTTACCGTAGGTGCCATAACGCAAATGTCCGAGCAATAACTCACCCACAAAAGGTACATTGGCTTTGTACCAGTCCGATTCTGCCTTCGGATTATCTAATGGCTTACGGTTTTTCGGAAAATGCGAGAACACATTATCGAAAATATCGACAATGGGCTGCTGTTTTACGGAACGATAGCGATTAATAAATGGGGTTCCCGGAACCGGATCAAGCTTAATCACCGCTGCACCTGCACCGTCTTGTCCGCGGTTGTGCTGTTTCTCCATCAACAAGTATAGCTTGTTCAGCCCGTATGCCGGAGTACGGTATTTTTCTACATAATAATCTAGGGGCTTTAACAATCGGATAAGTGCGATTCCACACTCATGTTTTATTGCGTCACTCATAGGATAGGTAGGTAAGGTGCGAAGTTAGCTTTTCAAACGGTACTGCAAAAAATTAAAAAAATTTTGTAGTCTTAGGGTAGAAATATGGCTATTAACCAAACCTTTAAGAACCTAAACCGTACACGGGAAATCATTGGAGTGCTCATTAAATGGGGCTTTGAAGATGTGGTGATTAATTCTACCCTGCGAAATCTCGTTCCTGAGTCGACCCGATTGAAATGGCTGAGAGATGACAAGCCTATTGAGCAGTACACCCGCTACGAACGCATCAGAATGGCAACTGTGGAGTTGGGGCCAACGTTTGTTAAATTAGCGCAGATTCTGAGTAACCGCCCCGATATTATTCCGGAAGGATTAGTTAAAGAATTCGAAAAACTACAAGATAAAGTGCCTCCCGTTCCATTTAGCGAGGCGAAAGTGATTATTGAGCGCGAAACGGGTAAAAAAATTGAGGAATTGTTCGAGGAATTTAACGAAACGCCTTTGGCTTCGGCTTCGATCGGACAAGTATATAGAGCAAAATTGCGAACGGGTGAGGATGTGGTGGTGAAAGTACAGCGACCTACTGTGGCCGAAGTGATTGAACAAGACTTGAACATTATTAAAGATGCAGTGCGCAGAGCCGACAGGTATTTACGTAAGCAAGGTTTTATTAATGCGGAAGATGTGGTGGCGGTGTTTGATCGTTCATTGACCAAAGAGTTGGACTATCGTAACGAAGCGCGAAATATTGACCGTTTCAGAACTACATACCGACACCGTAGAGATTTCTACATTCCAAAAGCGTATCGGGAATATTCTACGGATAAGATTCTAATTATGGAATTTGTGAGTGGTTGCAAGATCACTGATGTGGAGCAGTTGAACAAGTGGGGCATTTCGGCAAAAGATGTGGTGGAGCGCGGAATGGATATTTACCTCACGCAAATTTTTGAGTTTGGTTATTTCCATGGCGATCCGCATCCGGGTAATATTTTGGTGCGCGAAGATGGAACCATTGTGTTGCTTGACTTTGGAATGATTGGGCAGTTGATGCCAAAAGACAAATATGCTTTTGCCGGTATTTTTATTTCGATGGCGCGCCACGATGCCCATGAAATGGCGATGCAAATGCGCAAATTGGCCATTGAGGATAACATCACCGATATGCGTCAGTTTACCTACGACCTGAACGATTTGATTGAAGACTATGCATCGCTCGATGTGAGTGAAGCCAGTATACAAGATGTGATTACACGATTGCAAAAAATCATGTACGATTATCACATCACCGTGCCGGGTGGCGTATTTATTGTGTTCCGTGCCTTTGCTATTTTGGAAGGGATTGGAAAATTAATGTACCCGGGCTTTAAGACCTACGATTTTATTCGTCCGTATGGCCAACGCTTATTAACCGAGCAATTGAAACCGGAAAATTTAATGAACGAATCGGTGTCGAAATTTTCGAGCA